CAGACCAAATAGAGATTCTTGTGAGGTTGTGAATAGGTAAATAGTGATAGTTAAGCCAGGACCCATTTTTTATCACTTTCACTGTGAAACATAGTCCACTTTCCTGTTGACACCGTGTTGCCAGTTGTTTTAGATTATGAATGATTTTGATTTTATATATAACATTAATTAAGGCATCAAGATAAATTCTCTTGATTGTAAATAGATTGTTTCACTTACATTCAATAGGTTTTATTGTTTCAGTTAATATATGACACTTTGGAGAGAGAAGGAAAAATCAAATGTATACCCACATTTCCGAAAACCATTTGTTAGCCCTAGTGTTACAGCTCAGCAAAGAGTAGAGGGAATTCAGTGGGGTTCATGTGCCTCTTTTCTTTGATGTTTGGGAGGCCATGAAGATGTAGCCATGTGTGCAATGAGTATAGGGAATCTTTGGACCTGAAGAGATGTTTCTTATATACTTAGTCTTGCTTTTATATTACAGTGTACAGTTTAAGACCGGTAGCCATTGAATATGGAATTGCTTCTCACCACTACAGCATGCTGTAACATTCCTCTGCTTGGGAGTTACTTATTTTGAAATCTTGGCATTTCACATCATTAAATACCATTGAAAAAGAAAACCAATTTAGCTTTTCTGAGCACTGGAGTTTCAGTGTGCCATTATTGTTTTTGATATGGTTTTTAGAACATTCCCAAAGTCTAGGTTTGCACATCCACGCCCCCCCTTGCGTCATCTTTCTTTTATTTCACTCCTCTTTGGGGGTGGGACCCCTGACCTAGTGCATTCTGTGCAAGCATTCTGCCCCTGAAGTACATCCCTGGCTTGCTTTCCTCTTTTCTCCAAGTGCAAACTATCGTGGTTAGGAATTCCAGATAGGAAGTGTCTCTTTCTACAACTAAATGGCACAAAAAGATGCTTACAAACCATTTAAAGTAGGGTAGCTTTACTGCTTCCTGGGAATGTGGTCTGCTGTTCTCACATACTGGTAGCACTCAAAGCTTATTATTTGCTGGAGAGTCATTAGAAAGTGAATTTAGCCACAGTGATGGATAGAGTGTAATTAATCATGGGCCAAAAGGAAAGGCTGGAGCTACTGTTGCAAATAGTTTACAGTATTACCTTTTATTTGTTTGCTTCAGGTGCTGTTACACTACCAAACCGTCAGTGAGCCTGCTACTATTAAACGATTGATTAGTGTCCTAAACAAAAGTACTGGTGAAGTCACAAAGAAAAAGCCTAAGTAAGTGTTTTAATACAGAAATCATAAACACTAACTAACAATGTGAGCAAATTCCTTACAGATAAGTTCATGTGTGTACTGAGGTAAGTGGGGTCCAGTTTACTTTTTCTATATCTAAATAAACATTTAGGGGATGGAGAGATAGCTCAGTTGGTAAAGTGTGTGCTTGCTGTGCTAGGATAAGGACCTGAGTTTGAGTCTCAGAGCCCATGGAAAAAAGCTAGGTGACCTGGGACCCACTTGTAATGGCAGCATCCAGGAGGCAGAGCCAAGTGGATCCCTCAAGTTCACTGGCCTACCAGGCTAGCATAATTGTCAAGGCCATTAAGAGTTCATGTCAAAGAACAAGATGAACAGTGCTGAGAATGTCATCCAGGGCTGACCTTCGCCTTCGCATGCATGAACAGCCATGTGCATATTCACCTACACATATATGTGCAATCACACACAACTACATAAATGTTTAAGCTCTAGTTTAGGAATAAATGTTAGACATGATTAAAGTGATGTATGGTGGTGATGTGGATTATAAGTAAAAATATCAGTATAAATATATACATACATGTGTATCACCAAGCCACAGATATTGATGGATCAAAGACATTTCAAAAGCTAGTCTTATGTTCTTAAAGATGGATTTTAACTTGTCTGCCACTTGTTCCAGATTTCAGTCTCGTGCTTTCCTTAGCTTTGTCACCTGCTCAATGAGCTTGTTCCCTAGCCTAAGAAGAAAGTCTCTGCATTTTCTCTAGCACCTTACTGTTTCCACCCTGTGATGTAATTGTGTTCCTGTCCACATGGTCTTAAACTGAGGTGATTACTATGGTATTGGTTTTCTGATTATAGGTCTGTACAGCTCTTCTTTGCCTGACAGAAACTAAGTATGCTGTAAATAAAAATAAAAATGCAAGTGCATATGCAAAAGACAGACTCTTACTTGGTACAGGTTAAAGGGTATCCTAGTTTGGTTTGGCTGCCTGCACTTTGGGGTTTCCCTCATCTTGAGTCCTATGGGGAATCCCACCCAAAATCCCCTTCTTTGCCGTTAAGTATTTCTCACCTTTTGCACCTGTGTAAGAGGCCCAGGATGCCTAATGGGTTAATGGGCTGACTGCCAGTGAAGAGGATTGAAGGCAGTCTGCTTCTCAGGAGGGAAGGGCTGCCTGCATGTCTCCTGAAGGAGGCACTTAGCTGGAGTCCGTAGCTTCTTATGTTCTCATGTCAGTGTTTGGCATGATGCTCTGGGAAACACTACAGAACTGTAAGGATGGTGTTTCTCAAGGTCCATGTTTGCTAGGCTCTGTCATGAGTCTGTCAAATGACATATATCTCAGCAATCACGTGAAGCAGCAGAGTTACACAAAGCTTACAAGTGGCAGTAAGAGGCAGGATTCTAACTGATTCAGTAACTTACATAAATGCTCCTCTATGTGGGATTGTTTGTGTCTGGGTTGTATGACAATTATTTGAAGAACTTTTCAATTGAAATCTAAATCCCCCCCCCAGCATTGCCATCAAATCTAAATCCCCCCCATGCCTGCTACAGAATACTAGTGTAATATACCCAGCATGTATGAAACCCAAGGTTGAATCATCAAAACTGCAAAACTAAATAAATACAGTATAAAGGAGGATTAAGAGTTAATACTCTGATAATATTAAACTTTAGTGTCATTTACTTTATTAGATAACTAAACTTCTAGATTTCTTCAGGGAATGGTAGGGAAGCATTGATCATGATGGGTGTTTGAGCATTTAGGGGATAGGATGTAGTGGACCTGAAGAGATAGAGGTGTGTTTTAAGATTGGTTCACACACACACACACACACACACACACACACACCTTCACACACCTACTTGACGTCTATCTACCCTCATTCCTTTTAGCCCAGAAAAATTGAAAGATATATGTTTGCATTTAAAACATAAACACATGTAACTTTTTCTCCTGGATTTTGAAAGACTGAGTTGATTTGCTGGTGGGATGTGAACTGCTCACTTTCTGGTGCTCTGTCATCTGTGTTGTGTATCCATTTGTTCCTTCTTTGTCCTTCCGCTGTTAACAGGCTGCTGACCAAGGGCCAGAATGCGTTGGTAGAGCTTCAGACACAGAGACCAGTGGCTCTGGAGCTCTACAAAGACTTCAAGGAGCTGGGGAGGTTTATGCTGCGGTATGGTGGCTCCACAATAGCTGCTGGTGTTGTCACTGAGGTATTTTGAAACCACTATGTCCATAGTTAATCTTGTGATTTTCACCTTTCAGGGTAATTACAGAGATTTTTATGGCTTAAGGGAGCACACAATATTGGAACAAAAAATTAAAATTTATATTAAAATGGTTTCTAAATTATGAGAAGATTTAAAAGTATCAGATATGTGGGGTCAAATAAATTGGAAGTCCTGGTTTTGTTTACTAGAAGAAGCTGTATTATTTTTCTTAAAATTACTGGCTTTTAGTGTATTTGAAATAAGTCATCCAAAAAATTGATTAATGTAGTTCTAATGTTTTCCTTTTCCTTTTCCTTTTTTTGTTTTTGTTTTTGCTTTTGTTTTTTGTTTTTTTTTTCGAGGCAGGGGTTCTCTGTGTAGCTTTGGAGCCTATCCTGGCACTTGCTCTGGAGACCAGGCTGGCCTCGAACTCACAGAGATCCGCCTGCCTCTGCTTCCCGAGTGCTGGGATTAAAGGCATGAGCCACCAACATCCGGCTCTAATGTTTTTTTAAACATAACTTTTATATATGATAAAGTACGGTGACATTTTAAAGGAAATAGCCAATACTGAACCAGGAAATTTCAGAAGTTTGAATTTTCTTCTACAGTCCCATAACTAATATGAATATTTTATATGAAAAAACAAGTAAGTAGTATGACAGGGGATAGGGAAATAGTGAAGGAAAAAGAAAAAGTTTATTTCACTGTCCCTTGCTTTTGTTGGTCTTGTAAAGTGTTTAAAATGATAGCGGTACCTTTGTTTTCTTTTGCAGATCAAAGAGTGATGGGCCCACCATGTTTCCAAATGCAGTGAGACAGTCAGCCACAGAGGGGCGTCCAGTGTGCAGTTATGGAAACAGTGTGCAGTTGATGATGTTTTGTAGACACGAGAACCTAAAGCTATAATTAGCTGCCAAGAAGTATTAATAATCACTCCTGCAAAAGTTTTGAGTTGCCAACTGACAAAGAAAGGCCAATACTATACTTCCATTTCAAAAGCAGTTTTTCCCTTTGGGGTGGTAGCAAATGCATCTGTTTTTCTGAGACTTGTAGGGATTATTCAAAGATACTTAAGTCATCATGAAATGGACTCAGCTTTCAGCCGAACCAAAACCGTCTTTGTCTTCTCTTTTCATTCTCCTGTTCCACACATGTTCTAAAGAAGGGTATCTAATGGGGCTTTTGATGTAGTCAGTCTTTGACCTGGTGCTTTTTTTAGCTAACACTAAGAAAAGATTTACTGATAATAATAGTAGTAAAGCTATTATGTGTTGAAAAAGAAAATGTCCTCATGTTCAACAAGTCTACCTTCAGAAGTGTGATTGGAAGTGACTGAAAGCTGTTCTTAGGTCATGAAGATATTATTGAAGTTGAAAAGTCAGCTAATAAAAGGCCTTAGTTTGAGCATATTGTAAAAATGTGTTTTGTTTCTTAAACATTTATGAGGGAGTCTACCCCATAACCACATGAGACCAGGCACTGTTTGGGATCTTTTCACCTAAAGATTTCCTGACTGATAAGATTTTTGCTTTTTATTCTAATGGTGACTCAAGTTTAGTCTTAGCCACTTTAACTGTACCTTGGGTTTCTTGTTCTTTGGAATTGATTACTGACCCTATCTGGTCTTCTCTGCTGCCAGGCTCTGCTCCCTATGAAGAAGACCCAGGCTTTTCTTCAACGTTTCAACAACAAACTTGAAGGTTTAGGATTTGTCGAACCATTTCCTGAGTCCAACGAAATTTGGGTTAGCTGTTGTCCCCAGCTGAGCCTGGGACTAAAAGGACCCCCTATTGTAGACTTCAGAAATTAGAAAGGCACGATAGTGTTGAACTTCCAAATTCAGTAGTTCTTCTTTTTCTTGCTTTCTTTTTAATTTATTTTCTTGGATTTTGCTAGATTTTCTTTCTTTTTTCTTTTTTTCTTTTTAGTCCTGAAGGTTCTGGAATTAGGTGTATAACACCCCACCTGGCTCCTGTTGCAGAACTGAAGAATAGCATCGACATGGTCAAGTACGGATCCTAAATGTGCTGCTGGGTGGTGTTTCTAGGTGACTGTTCAGACCATCATTCTTTAATGAGAAGCATTTGTGTAGCCATCAGCTGAGATGAAACTTGCGTAGACGAGAGTGTTCTATTCATATGTCACTCAGGAACTTCATAGATACTTATGATAGAAAACAACCTTAACTTGACTTGAGTAACAAGACATTTTGACTCACTCAATTGAAGCAGAGGCAATCCTAGCTTTGAATTAGCTCAGGAGGGACACTTTTCATCACCTGCACCAGGTTCCAGTCCTACTTGCCCTGCTTTGGTGTTCATTGCCCCTGAGACCCATAGACTCTTCTGTAGTACCAGGCTGCAGACAGGATGTGGTGGTTCTACACTGTCTTCTCAAACCCTCCATCCCAGGGAGGACAGGCCAAAAAATGGTGTTTTGGGGAAGCCCTAGAACCATTGAGCATGAATGAAATTTTCCCTGGGACATGTTCTCAGCAGTATGAAGTGACTATAACTCAAAGCAGAGCTGAGGATTGTGGGGTTTGAAATTCAGGGTGCTACTAAGAAGTGGTTTGATATCCATCCCATATATGTATTATAGAGAAGCGTGATAAAATTAACACTTTAAGAGTTTAGCATAAATAGGTAGTAATCAATTGAAGGGGCTTAATGACTTTCCTCTTTTGAAAATTGTAAGTGTTCATCTGAACACCCTGGCCCATCAGAGAGTACCAGGCCAGCTCTTCCCTGTCAGAGCTACAACCTCTCCACAGAGAAACCACCTTAAAATGTAAATTAGTGATTAAATGCAATTGTAAAGTAGAATTTAAAAGAACACATTGAAATAAGTGAACTGATTCCAACTGTGGAGACATATTATGACCACATTATTTTGTTGTTCTGACAACCATAACAAGTTTTAAGACAATTTTGGTAACCTCTTAACTGAATTAATTAACCAAGAAGCAAACAGATATAGTGAGACTTGAAAAAGGTCATGAATTCAAGACTGGCTTGCTATATAGCCTGACCCTTATTCCACCCCCAAAAAATGCATAATGAAAATTTATTAAATAATATAATTATAGATGTTTGAATTCTCATACAGCCTTTCAGATCATGTGAACAATGTTTGTAGAGCAATCCATTATGGAAATAAAAAGAATGAACATACATGCAGAAAGAGAGCTCTGTTAAAAGTAAAAACCTGATGAGTAAATACTAACCACACTGCAGAATTATATGCTTCAATAGATATGGATGTAAACTTGCTTTAAAATGCCTTAAATGGTTTGCAGCGTCCCTGCTTGGACTGTAGATATGGAAGTATTGGCTGAATTTAAGTAGCTGGTAGAAAAAATCATAAGCCTATATGTATTTAAAAGGTAGGGACACAAGCAAGAATCTATTTTTAAAAATGCCAGGCATGTTTTACACTTATCTTCTAGAGGACAAAGTTATATAATTCAAACTGCTATGTGGTATTACTAAGTGGGACACAAATATAATGACTCGGAACCGAAATCAGAAATCTTACCCAGGCGGATGGGAGAAAGAGAAAGGGAATACATGGTCAGAAAGAAATTGAAGGAGAAGGTCTGTTTGCATTTTAAAAGTCCTAGAAAGTAGAAATACAAGGAATGGATGAAATGTATAGAGTTATAGCAGCCAAGAAGTTCCCAGAACTGACAAAAGACATGAAGTAAGCAGTAGAAAAACAGTCTGTTTCAATTCTGGTAGTGAGACAGAATCCTACCTGAGTACACTGAAGTGAATCAGGGACATCAAAGACAGCCCCTCCAGAGGTCAGGGACAAATACACGACAGAGAAGAGACAGGAGATAACAATCAATGTGGATAACAGAAGGAACAGAATGTCTTCAGAAGGTCATTTAAAAACCCATGGTTCACAAAGAGTTTGGTCGTCCATGGGTCCTCAGCACAGTGTACTGTGGCTCATGCTGTCCACTCAGAATCCATGTACAAGTCTGTTCTGGGACAAAATACCTGTAAGTGGGCTGGGCGTTGGTAGCCCACACCTTTAATCCCAGCACTTGGGAGGCAGAGGCAGGCAGATCTCTGTGATTTTGAGGCCAGCCTGGTCTACAAATCAAGTTCCAGGACAGGCTCCAAAGCAATACAGAGAAACCCTGTCTCGAAAAACAAAAACAAAAAAACCCCAAAAAATCCTGTAAGTGGGCCATGTGCAGGAGAAACTTCATTCTCACTGTTCTAGAAACAGGAGACCAAGATGAGGATGCCAGTGGATTTGTTGTATGGTAAACATTCCCTGCTTGCCGATGCCTCTTCCAACTCCTCCAGGAAGAGCAACACTGTGCTCCAGTGGCAGAAGACACAAAGGATGACTTTTCCCCTCTAGTCCATTACAAGGGCACTGACGGAGCAATGAGCAAGAGTCCCTTCCTAATCGCTGTTTGGAGGGTTAAACTTGAACCTGGGATGCAAGCATTCAAACCATAGCACTGTAGGTAGAAAAGAATTCCCTGGCTTCCATGGCTAGTCCCTACAAGGACATGGGTATGTCATGCTGTGATAGTCTCAGATACTATTAGGTATTAACTAGCTAAAGTCTCTTTTATTTCTTGTTAGTGCTTTAGTGTTTTTCTATATTAGCTTCCTAAGTTGCTTAAAGTGAGACCAAAAGTGCCAGTATGTGAACTTTGCATATTTAGTTTCCAGGTTTGATATAATTATAATTTGGTCAGATAAGGAATGGGAATGTTCTAGGAATGACTCATGAATGTGAGTTTTCTATTTTCATAGTTCATAAATAGGGAAATTAATGTTAAAATAGCAGTCTCATGCATTTGTTAAATAAGCTTGTTGGTGCACTGACAATATCAGACCTCAGAACACATAAGCCAGAACAGAATGTATAATGCTGTGACATATTATAGATGTCCTGTGGTGCCACATACCGACATCATCGAAATCATTGTTCTTGTGGTTAGGGTTAGCTTCTGAAACTTTGTATAATGTATATGTATAAAAGAACAGTATATTCTTGGTGATGGAGGAAACCTTGGATTGTCAACAGCTTAATCGCTACAGGTTCTATGTAACGGTAGAGTCAGTTATCTTAATAACGTGAACTGTAAAGTAACTGAGCACTGTAGAGGAATGGGGATGCAGATTGAAAAGGAGCATACCTCCAGAGCACTGTTCACCTCTCCAGTTCCAACCTGCTCCTGTACTGGGGATCTAATCCAGCCAGCTCCTGTCTCCTGCCCCTGTATAGCCTGCAGCTACTCCACTCTGGGTGGCCAGACAAGTTCCAGACAAATTTACTGAAGCTGGGGCCTCCACAGTTGGTGTGACTACATCAGGGCTTGGCATTAGAATTGTGTTTGGCAGCTTGATGATTGACCATGCCAGGAGCCCACCTGTTCCAAAAGCTCAGTGCGAGGCCCTGGGGCTCTTCTGTTTGATGATCCCCATCCTCATCTTTCCCATGTGAAGCTTTATAAGGTCAACCACCCAGCCCCCTGGCTTTGACTCTGCCAGTCCCTGTGCTGGGTGAGCTAAGCTTTACCATTAGAACATGCCTTTGCATAATAATAATAATAATAATAATAATAATAATAATAATAATAATATAGCATTTAGACATAAACAAGAAGACTCCCATAGTACCTGCTATGGTAGATGACTCTTGGGAGGCTTGGAAGCTCACACCAATTTGAGGCTCAGCTCTCAAACTATACTGGGCCCACTCTAAGTTTGGGCTAAGCATGTGACCTTTTTCTAGCAGATGCATTATGGAAAAATAGTTGAATATTTCTAGCTGGAGAAATCTGTTAGTACTACCTTGGCCAGGTGGTCAAGATCAACAGCAGTCAAGTCCTGCTGATCACAGGTACCAGCAGGTATACACCTCCGTAGTCTTCCTCTCAAAAAGCCACAATACTCATAATCTTGAGGAAAACATCAAACTCCATTAGAAGGCTGCTATACAAAATACTTGACCCAGAAACTGACCTCTTCGAACAAGAAAAATCAAGTTCATTGCCAATAATAGCACATGTAATGTGGGGTCATGAATGAGATCCTACAGAGGAATGACATTAGGTAAAAACTAAGGAAATATGAATGAACTGGATTTTTGTTAATATTTCCTAAATATTGGCAAATCCGTAGTAAGGTAAGCTGTTAATGATAGACTGAAATCTCAGTGGTATGCTATTTACAAATACAAACACTAAATAGCAACAATATTAGTAATAGTAATAATGATGCCTGAAATAAAATGTGATGAAAAATTAACACATATTGGAAAACAAAAAAGAACTAGCTGGAGCCAGGTTACATGTCTCTGGGTAAAGGTGCTTGCCACCAAGCCTCATGACCTGAATTAGATCCTGAGGAAGGAGATTGGTTGCAGAGACACTGTCAGTTTCTGTTGCTGTTATAAAATACCATAATCATAAACAATTTGGAGAGGAAAGTATGTATTTCAGTCTTACAGTTGCACATAGCCCATCATCTGGGAAGTCAGGGCAGGAACTGAGGCAGAATCCATGGAGGAGTGCTGCTTACTGACCGGTTCCTCATTGGTTCCTCACTGCTTCCTTATAGCACCCAGGACCACCAGCTGTGCCCTCACACATCTGTCATTAATTTAGAAAATGACCTTCAGTCTTAACTGTGGACTTTTAGAAAATCAGCATGTAGTTTTTTATTCCCGAGAGGGAAGAACCAAGGCGCAGTTAAACCAAAATCCAAATGTATAAAGTTCAGTGCATGACTCCTGAGACCCACTCACAGTCTTCCAGGCTCCAAAGACCTCCACTCCTTGGCCGTGCCATCCACAGTGCACTTATCTTGTCTCATAGGCTCAGGCCAGCTGATCCTGTGCTTGGTAGTCAGATACCAAATAATGCCTTTGAGATCCATTCAAGTTATTGTATTTATTGGTAATGTGTCCCTTCTATTGCTGAGTGGTATTCCATATGTGTGTTTAACTATTCATATGATATTTTGATTATTGTTCTCACAGATAAGACTTCTATGACCATCATGCCACACATAACAAATAATAATGACAGTGGTTCCATGAGCCCTTTCCGATCTCCAATATCTATGCATCTGTACAAACATTTGTCTTCAACTGTGAAAAGCCTACCATGGCTTCTTAGGCCCACCATGGACCCTGGCTGTGTGTCCATTACTGCATTCATTTAACCATGGATGTTTATTTTTATTTATATATGACCAGTGTAATATCTTTTTAAAAATCTCATTGAGTGTCAGCAAAAGGACAGCAACATGACCAAAAACCAGTAACATGATTGAAAGAGAAAAAGACAAACTGGAAAAGGAAATGTGAAGATTTGTAAGCTGAGGGAAAAAATAAAACTATCTTAATCTGCTTTGTTGTTTTTCTGAATGGGGCGCCTTTCTAGAGAATGTGATTATATGAAGGAAAATGAGTCCTGCTTCCACATATTCCACAGGAAGCAGCTGGGGTTGGTCCTTTGTAGAGAGAGACCTGCGGCTCCTGTGCACCAGGAGTGAGAGCGGAATTCCAGAGAACATCTAGAGAGACATCAATTAAGACAGAAGCACAGACAGGCTGAGGAGCTTGAATATTGATTTCTACCATCCAGCCACATAATTCCTGCTGTAGCAGTTGAGCATGGGCCTTCCACAAATATTGGATTATTTTAACATATGTGGAATAAAGAGAACACAATTTTGGCTCCTCTATCCCATGCCCTCAACGGTACAGCCACACACAGACTGTACCACACATTATTCAGTAAGTTTTCTCTCACCAACACATGCATAGGTAGGGTCTTGCAATAGTTCCCAGGCTGGTCTTAAGTGCCACACTGAGCCTGTTGGCAACACATCCTTCTAATATCTAAATAATATTCCTTATTCCTATTAATCAAGTCATGACTAATATTCTTTTTGCTCTCAGCTTCACTATTATCATAAAAATAGAATGTCTTGAAACTTACCATCTTGTCCAGGATCAAATATTTTTAAAGTAGAGATTTGTTGAAGGGAAATCACTAGATTCCAAGTAGACATATTGACATGGTGACACAGGCAAGTTGCTCCAAAAAGGCTTCTGTGCACCCAGCCAGCATGGGAGAGGGACATGAGTGTTTTTTACATCTCCAGACATATTAAAGTTTAAAATACTCTGTAGTCCAATTATCCAATGGGGAGCCTTTCTGTGTGCCCCATTTCTTGATTAACAATGAGTCTAATGCCTGTTAATACATGCATGGGCAACTGTTCTCTCTGATAGATTGCTTTTATTAGAGACGTTACTAGTCTTTTCTGCTAGGCCCATTTAGCTTACCAATTTGTAGAACTGGACAAGAGTCTATAGTTTGCTGTGTATGTTGTATACATTTTTGGCTTGTATCTTCATGTTATGGCATATCTAGGATATGTGAGCTATCACTGAAGCCTTGGTTTGAGATGGAGGACACGTGTGTGGGAGAAGGCAGCTAAGATTAAAACAAAGATGAGCAATGGACACAAGGATTCTGTCCTGTCTGCAGGGTCAAGGTGGTGAGGCACTGGTGAGAAAGTGAAGAGAAAAAGTTCATCCCTTGCTCATGTGTGACCTTGAACACTGTCTAACCTCTCAGAGGCTCAGTTTCTTCTACAGAAAGGGGGACATAAGGAGAATCATAGAAAATTATTCTGTGGGACCAACATCATGCTTTGCACTTAATGTTTAAACAGTAGACACTGTGTGACCACAGTGAAATCATCTACATAGGCACTGTTGATTTAAAAAGGGTGGCCAGAAGAGCCTGTGAATGCATAACAATGCTTAGTTTAACACATTATCCATTTCTCATAATGGACCAACAGTTGCCTTCAGGAACTCTCCTGAGTTTAGAATCTGGAATATTCTGGAGAGCAGCACGGACAAATGAGGACACGGACCGGGTGGGGGTGTCCGAACAAAGTCCTGAGGACAGTCACAGGGAGCTACTACACAGTCTGAAGAGCATTCTCCCTACCATGGCTGCCGGAAAAAAGGAACTTTTGATGTTGGAAAACTTCATAGGTGGAAAATTTTTACCCTGTAGCTCATATATAGATTCGTATGATCCGTCAACAGGGGAAGTATATTGTAAAGTACCTAACAGTGGGAAAGAAGAGGTGAGTATATCCACTTAGAAAACAGAAATGTATTTATTGTGGTGACAAATTGTGAAAAGCTATTTTCTGAAAGTAAATGGGAGCGGGGTGTGTGTGGGGGGGGGGAGGAAATGTAGAGTTTCACAAGATACTTTATCTAATGACAGGACAGGTATGAGTCAGAACAGCTCTGAGCTTAAAATGGACAGAAGAAAGTTGTCGCTTGCCAACTTAACAGCTCTGGGCATAATTGGTTTTAATTTCTATAATTCTCAGACATGCTATTATAGGTATTTAGTGCAAATATTATTCATGAGAACCACTGCCATATTAAATGCATTCTTTCTCTACAAAGTGTCCATTAGCTCTTGGATTTATAAAAATTAAGTTTTAAAAACTTCAGTTTAGAGTGACACAAAAAATCCCAGGTCTTTATTTTAGACTATCATCTAATAGTTCCTCAGATCTCCAAAAATACACAGTGAAAAAGCCAACCAGCCATTTTAGTAATGAAGCCAAAAATTAAATTCTTGTGTTTTTTTCATTATACTTAATTATTCTGAAAAATATTTAATGGTTCATATTCCTTTCTTGACCTTTTTCCTTTTTATGTTTTAGTTATGAAGAATTAAGTTCTCTTGGGGGATTTGGAAAAATGGGAATTTGATTATTTATGAATTATTGCATGGAAAACAAAAATGATCTGGTGTGATAAATGGCTGATATGTATGTAGTTATCAGGTGAATACTGTTTATTCTTTTTACAGCACAAAACTGGGTTATAATTTCAGCCTTCCTATATGGAAAGTGGTTTTTCTTCAAAGATTCAGCTTTTTTCTTCATTGTTAAACTTGAAATCTATCTTCTAGAGGAAAAATATCACTTTAGACTTCAGTACTAAAGTTTACAAATATTGGATAACTTGTTAGTTAAATTGTAACCAGCAATTTTGCTTCCTTCCAATGAACACAAACAGCCACATGAGAAATCTAGCCTGTCTTCTCCACTCTTCCCAGTCTCAGGGTCTTTCCAAAGTGATGCTAAAAATAAGAAATCTACTAAATGCAGGTGCGGTTGGTAACAGCTCGCACTTCTTAAGGAAGTAGAATAAGACATCTACTTGCTCTTCTTACTACCGTAATATGTATAGCAATCCAGTTTACAAATATTCTGTGTTCCGAAAACTCTGTGTCTTTGGTGACTTTACAAGATTCATGGAAAATTGCGTGCGTGCGTGCGTGCGTGCGTGCGTGCGTGCGTGTGTGTGTGTGTGTGTGTGTGTGTGTGTGTGTGTACAGCAAAGTGAGATACTATAGCCTGTGGGCTTAATCTGCAAACTAGACCAAGGCAGAAAAACACTCAGATGCATTCTGTGTGCTTCACATTTTGGCCACAAGAGGGCACACCTGTTTTCATAATTTATCCTTTCCAGCTCTGCACTCTAGCTTTTCCAGACGTCTCTTCTGTGGGCGGGGCGAGACACTTGTTATGCCACAGAAAGGGCTCTCAACCCTGGGGTGTCCAACACAGGGGTCTCATATCAGATATCCTGCCTATCAGATATTTACATCACGATTCATACATAACAGTAGCAAGGTTACAATCAAGAAGTAGCAACAAAAATACATTTATGCAGCATTAGTAAGGTTGAGAACCACAGTGCTATAGCGTGTGAGTTAACAGTTTTGGGACCCACACTGCCACTTAGTAGCTGGGACCTCTGGCAAGTTACATAATCTTCTCACTTCAAAACAGCACACAATGTGGAGTTTTAAGAAGGATTAAGGACTTTGTGCTTTTGGTTATAGTCCTTCAGATATGCAAATTAGTGAGTGACTGACAGGATTGGTCACTCTGAGTGCCAGGAACAGACCTAGGATGCTATCACACAGAGAATGTTAGACTTCACAAACTGTTAGCTCTGAATTAAGAACATTAAAGAGATTTGACACATCTAGACAAATTTCCTTTCCTTTGCTACATCCAAAATGGTGTATTCTTTGGGAATCGATGGAAAATTCTCATCTTTTAAAATTAAAATCATGAGGGGCAGTGGTGGCACACGCCTTTAATCCCAGCACTTGAAGGCAGAGGTAGGTGGATCTCTGTGAGTTCGAGGCCAGCCTGGTCTACAAAGCTACACAGAGAAATCCTGTCTCGAAAAATAAAATAAATAAATAAATTAAATAAATAAATAAATAAAATCACCTTTTCCATGTTACTTGATACTTTGATAGATACCTTGGTAGAGATGGCTCGTGTCCTCCTCCCTGCCCCCGGCTCTCTTCTATGCATTGACCTCTGAATTGGAGACTTGAGCATCTGACCTACCTTAGAACTACACTCTGTGGGGGACAATGGCTATGCTCAATCCCTTTGCAAGGCAGCCTTAACCTCTCCACATCCCATTCTGCCTGGCTGGCTTAGGGCTTTGGGCTGTAATTGCCTTATCTGTAAAATGAGAAGCTGCCTTGGTGAAGGCAGCAGTCACACTTCTGTCACTCAACTTAGCTCTGCTGATCCCTTGGGGACATTGCATGATGCAGCAGTTTGCTCCTTTTAATGCAGAGAAGTGTGTAGCCAGCATGGAAGTGCCAGTTGGCTACCATTCACCCACCAAAGGAGAGTGGTTTGGGGCTACTATGACTATCACTGCTGTAAACACTCCTGTACCTTTTTTTTTTGGCGTGAAAGTAAGTTCTCATTTCTCTGGGATAAATGCCCAGGAAGGTGTTCCTGACTGAGTTGTGGCACTGTCACAGTCTGCCTGAATGCCTGTCTTTCTCATTCCCACCAGCAAGGAATGACAGGTTTTTTGCTTTTTTTTTTTTTTCAGAGTCCTCCCCAGCATTCCATATTGCCAGTGTTTTGTTTTGTTCCCTGCCCCCCTCTTTTTTTCTTGTGGTTCTGGTGGTCAAACTGAGGCACTGGGCGTGCTAGCGGAGTGCTGCATCACCAAACCACACTGGCGGCCCAGAACCTTTCGATCACTGAAACTGACTTCATGCACATTTCCCTGTGGCTACGGACTGGAAATATTTTCGTGTCCTTATGTATCTTGGGCATGCATCTTTTGTGAAGTATTTGCTCGCTTCTTTTGTCCATTTCCTAATGAAATTGCTGGTGCCTCACTGTTGACTGTTGCAGTTTCTTCATATGGGGCAGATCAGAATCATTTGTCAGCTCTGTGACAAGCAGGTATTTTCCCTGGTGGTTCAGAGGCCACCCTTTGAAACTGCTGACCTGAAACAGTCATTTTGCCTGCTCACCAGCAGAGGGGCCAGGTGAACAGCTGTTCAGACATGCCTGAGATCCCAAATCACATCCCCGGTACCACTGGGGCTGCCTTGTTCACAGGAGCTTGGGGCATCCTTGTGCCTGTATTCAGGCTTCTAGAAGTCCATGCTAGGGTCTGGTTTATGGCCTGCTGTTGGCTGTGAGACTAAATTCTGAAGGGGTTCAGCAGACACAAGGAGAGGATTTGGCACATGGTTCCACATGGTCAGCTGCTGATCACCCTGAGGCCATGGTGGCAATGACTCAGAACTCAGATGGTCAGATTTGCCTGAGGACAGCAGAAGGGAGAGAGCAACTAACCCTTCCTTTGTTTTTGTGCTGTTTTTTGGTTACATAAATACCTGCGTTGTCTATTTTGTGTGTAGTTTAGCACTAGGACATGTTGAATACCTGAAATTGGGCAGAATGACCATCAGGTTTGAAGGGATCCATGGATTCTGGATGCTGTCCGTCCTCATGAGCAATAGGGCTAAAGTGACCTTCTCTGGTTTGTTTCTCAAAGATTGAAGCTGCAGTGGAGGCTGCAAGAGAGGCCTTCCCTGCCTGGTCATCCCGGAGCCCCCAGGAGCGTTCTATGGTCCTGAACCGACTGGCTGACTTAGTGGAGCAGTCCCTGGAGGAGTTAGCCCAGGCTGAGTCTAAAGACCAAGGTGAGCGGGGTCCCTGGCAGGATCTGTCGGCCTTCCAATGTCTTTTAGCAGGAGCAACCGGGCTTGAGTAGAGGTGTGCCTTACTATACAGTTACGAAAACTGCAGCACATGTGTAGATAATGGCTGCTAGCACCCTCATTCTAGTTGGTCAGGTAATCTCTTGCCTTTTGGTAAAATGGTTTACACTCAGGACAAGTTAGTCATATCATTCTGTCTGAGGTGTCAAGCTGGCCTACACACTTGCTTATCAAGACAACAATAGAAATGGAGGCAGGAACATGCTCTGCCCCAAGTCAGTGTCTGAACCCAAAGCTTAATGATGGGGGAATACATTCTGCCAATTTAGCAAAAGTAGTGGCAAGGATCCACAGCAAAGTATGGATATGGGGAGTCCGGAGGAACTAGGGGTAGCCATGCCATCTACCTGTTCTGTTCACGGTCCCCAAGTAAAGACAATTTGAAGACTGGCTACTTCGCTGTCACTATTCTATTCCCATGTTTTCACTCCCCCCCCCTCAAAGGCATGGGGATAGAGTGAATATATAGACATCATAATGTCTTTTAGGAAGTGGTGTTAAAATATATCTGCCATGAGCCAACCTAAAGTTAGGAAGCAGCAGTGAGGTCCCCAGAGAGAGCTGGTTTCCTCAAGGTCAGTGTGGTGGTGAACACCTGTGATAGCAGCACACGGGAGGCTGGGGCTAAGGCAGGAGGATTGTGAGTTCCTGGCCACTTGA